CGTAGGCGCTGGTTTTGTCATTATTGATACTCGGTTTCCCCCGTATTCATTATTATTACCTTTTAACGGATTGATTGTCATCGTGGACGGCGGTGGAACCTCATTGGCTCAACACTCTGTGCAGTGATTGTCACCGCACCGAACGTTATCGGGAAAAGAGGTTCCATCACTGAACACGTGGTGAGGACGAATATAAGGAAAGATAGACCACGCGGAGGCCATCCACATCGGATTCCGAGTTCTGCAATCGGGACTTAATTCGAAAACGAGATCCCACGTGTGTATCATCGCCCTTCCGTTCGGAAAAACGTCGAGTAACCCGCATGGAAGTTCATAGATACTCTTTGCATTAAACGAACGTTTGAAAGAAGCATGCGCTATTTCTTTCCCGGGCGGCTATGACCATTTCTCACTAAACTGGAACCACATGGGGGATTTCAGTTTCGTTTGTGTCCCCACACTAAGTTTTCCCAAAAATCCTTGGCACACCCCATTTTGCTATTCTTTCCAGGTCTGCTCCGCTTATTCTTATCACTCCGACCGCAAGACGGCACAAGGTGTGAGGTTGAACATCACAGGTATGAGCACTTCCTGTGACACATCTAGGTGTCTTGCTCACCGGTCCCTTATTCTATTGTGTAGGTTCAGGTTGCCTCACAACACTCAGTAGGTTGCGCTTGTGATGCGCAAAACCGCAAACCCCGCACGTCGTTCCGTACCTCGAACGCCGATTAGAGTAGTTGCGGTTGTGGCCGAGGACTTCTGGCCGGTGGGGTTGAATCGCCCGGGAGGAACGAGTGATTCTTGTTTCAAGCCGAGGGTTGCCTTCTTGGGTTCCAACCGTCGTCGAGGGCAAGGGACGAAGAGAAAGATCATTTTGGAGCAACCATCAACAAGAAACCCAAAAAGAGAAACAAGCGGAAAAAGAAGAAAAAGATGAGGGAGCGGAATTTTTACCGCTCCCGGGCCCTTTTGCGCCAAAGTTCGCACAAACTGTGGGGCGGTCACTCCGAAATAGGGAATTTTCAGGCCCTGGTGTTAGATTCTTCGAGCCCGCGCAGGCGTCCTAGCACGGGGTCGCCGAGGGTCGGGCGGGCCGAGGGAACCTAGGTTCAAAAGTTAGTCGGGAGTGCGCCTGCGTTGCGGGAGAGTTCTCGGGATCGAGCCGCACCTTCGTATCCCAGGACTAGTCTTTGTCAGAAACACAAATCCCCCTGGCGACACCAGCGACAGCTGAACTGAGGCTGCCACGAGGCGTGAGCCGCGGACCAGGCCAACACAATTAGATCGGTGTAGGGCAATATCAGGGGAGGGGAAGAGAACCGATCAATCAGCACAAACCCACTCCCTCCGAAGTGGCAGACACTTGCGAGGTTATGCAGATGAATCTGCTCGGTTCGTTTCAGAGAGTTTCGCACGTCCTCGTCGCAGTACATGCTATCGTCGTCTGCGATGGAAAACTTTAACGTCGGCGGTACGCTGCGATGGACCGATACAAAGGTTGAGCACGGGCAGGGACCCGCGCTCACGCCCATCGAGACGAACGCTGGCTCCATGCAAAGATCAATACAACCCGTTTGTCTCTCTCTCTCTCTCTCTCTCTCTCTCTCTCTCTTTCTCTCTCTCTCTCTCTCTCTCTCTCTCTCTCTCTCTCTCTCTCTCTCT